CAGATAAAACAAAATATTCTCACTTGTTTTAATCCATCCATCGATTTTTCACTGCGCATGTCCTGTTCAGGGCTGCAGGAGCAATTGTCCATTATTTTAATTGGATGATACTGGCCTACGTTTGCCGTTGCTGGGTAAAACAGGTAAACGCCTCCTTTTGAATCAGTCTGAGACTGCGTCTGCTCGGTCATTAGCTCAAAGCTAACCCTTCGACGAAGAAGATGGCGAAAAGAAAAAAAGACGACGAGTATCGTACATTTCAGGACGAATGGACCGAAGAATTCGCCTTTGTGGAGAGAGCGGGTTCTGCGGTGTGTCTAATTTGCAATGACAAAATTACATCGTTGAAACGGTCGAATGTAAAGCGGCACTTCGACACGCGCCACGCTACCTTTGCATCAAAATACCCTGCGGGAGACAGCAGAAAGAAAGCGTGCCAAGAGCTTCTGAGCAGGGTGCAAGCTAGCCAGCAGCAACTCCGCGTATGGACCCGGCAAGGTGACTATAATTCGGCTAGCTTTGCTGGTTCTTTAGCAATAGTGAGGAACGGAAAACCATTCACAGATGGCGAGTATGCTAAAACGTTCATGCTGGATGTAGCCAATGAACTTTTTGATGATCTTCCGAACAAAGACAAGATAATCAAACGGATACAAGACATGCCTCTGTCGGCAAGAACTGTTCATGATCGTACCATCGTGATGGCAAACAAAGTGGAGGAAACGCAAGTGAAGGACATAAATGCAGCGCCGTTCTTTTCTCTGGCTTTGGATGAGTCAACAGACGTGAGCCATTTGTCGCAGTTCAGCGTGATTGCAAGATATGCTGTTGGTGACACACTGCGCGAAGAAAGTCTTGCTGTTCTGCCATTAAAAGGGTCCACAAGAGGTGAGGATTTATTCAAGTCTTTCATGGAGTTTGCTCAAGAAAAAAGTCTACCTATGGATAAACTTCTCTCAGTGTGTACTGATGGTGCTCCGTGTATGGTGGGGAAAAACAAAGGATTTGTGGCGCTTCTCCGTGAACATGAAAATAGACCCATCCTAAGTTTCCATTGCATTATACACCAGGAGGCACTTTGTGCTCAGATGTGTGACAGGCAGTTTGGCGAAGTGATGTCGCTGGTCATTCGTGTGATCAACTTTATTGTTGCCCGAGCCTTAAATGATCGCCAGTTTAAAACACTGCTGGATGAAGTTGTAAATAACTATCCTGGTCTGCTTTTGCACAGCAATGTGCGTTGGTTGTCAAGAGGGAAGGTGCTTAGCCGTTTTGCGGCTTGCCTGAACGAAATCCGGACTTTCCTTGAAATGAAAGGCGTCGGGCATCCTGAGCTAGCCGACACCGAGTGGCTTCTCAAGTTTTACTATCTCGTAGATCTGACTGAACATCTGAACCAGCTCAACGTGAAAATGCAAGGCATTGGAAATACAGTGTTATCCCTTCAACAAGCTGTATTTGCTTTTGAAAACAAGCTGGAGCTTTTCATCACGGATCTTGAAACAGGTCGTTTACTACATTTTGAAAAACTGAGCCAATTTAAAGATGCATGCACAGCAAGTGAGCCCATTCAAAACCTTGATCTCCACCAGCTAGCTGGCTGCACATCCAGTCTCCTACAGTCCTTCAAAGCACGCTTTGGAGAATTTCGTGAGCACACTCGTCTTTTTAAGTTCATCACCCATCCAAACGAGTGTTCACTGAACACAGCCGACCTGAATTACATCCCTGGTGTCTCCGTCAGAGATTTTGAAGCAGAAGTGGCTGACCTGAAGGCCTCAGACATGTGGGTGAATAAGTTCAAGTCACTGAATGAAGATTTGGAAAGAATCACACGACAGAAAGCGGAGTTGGCGAGCAAGCACATGTGGACAGAAATGAAAAAACTCCAACCCGAAGACCAGCTGATTCTCAAAACTTGGAACGCGCTTCCTGTCACATACCACACACTGCAGCGTGTGAGTATTGCTGTATTGACCATGTTTGGATCTACGTATGCATGTGAGCAGTCATTCTCACATCTTAAAAACATCAAGTCCAACCTACGATCACGTTTAACGGATGAAAGCCTCAACGCTTGCATGAAGCTTAACCTCACCAAGTACCAACCCGACTACAAAGACATCAGCAAATCCATGCAGCACCAGAAGTCGCATTAATGGTGAGTGTTATAACAACATTATTTAAAAGAATACATTCAGAGGCTTATTATACTGACATTTAGTTGAATTCACTTTTAAAATATATTATATGGCTCTCACTGAAATAAATTTCCAAATTTTTTGCTTTCATGGCTCTCTTAGTCAAAAAGGTTCCCGACCCCTGCACTACACTATACACTACACTACTATACACTACACTACTATAAACTACGCTACTATACACTACTATACACTACACTACTATACACTATACTACTATACACTATACTACTATACACTACACTACTATACACTACACACGACACTACTACACACTACACGACTGTACACTACACTACTATACACTACACTACTATACACTACGCTAATATACACTACACTACTATACACTACACTACTATACACTACACTACTATACACTACAGGACTATACACAACACACTACTATACACTATACTACGATACACTACACTACTATACACTACACTACTACACTACACATTACACTACTACACACTACACTGCTATACACTACACTACTATACACACTACACTACGATACACTACACTACTATACACTACTACACTACACATTACACTACTACACATTACACTACTATTCCCTTCACCACTATACACTACACTACTATACACTATACTACTATACACTACACTACTAAACATTACACTATACACTACACTACTATACACTATACTACTATACACTACACTACTATAAACTACGCTACTATACACTACACTACTATAAACTACGCTACTATACACTATACTACTATACACTACACTATACACTACACTACTATACACTACACACTACACTACTATACACTACACTACTATACACTACACTACTATACACTACACACGACACTACTATACACTACACTACTATACACTACACTACTATACACTACACTACTATACACTACTATACACTACACTACTATACACTACACACGACACTACTATACACTACACGACTATCTACTACACTGCTATACACCACACTAATATACACTACACTACTATACACTCATACACTATACACTACACTACTAAACATTACACTATACACTGCACATTGGGCCCTGTAGAGGCCCTTCGTTAGGCATTTAGTCCACAATAGAGGTTTTTTGGGTTAGATCGTGTAAATTTGTGTCGTTAAACCCGCCACCACCCGACACAGAACGTGGCCAATCCGTCACGAGTACAGCACACCGGTGTGTTGGAGAGCCAAGCCACGACATTTACAATCCGAGTCCGACGTTTCGCCAGTAATTACGACCGGCTTCATCGGGCGATTTGTAGAGAAATCCTATTGTTTCGTTCCTTCAATAGAGGGGTAGATGTGATGACGTCACTTGTGAGCCCTTCTTGAGTGACGTGAGATGGGGGGGGTTAATGAATGAGTCTAAATGACTATGGATATCCATTACTGTTTGGTTTATTTATATGGCGATCAACGTTCATTATGTATGCGCATTATGCAAGCACACTGTTCTTGTAGCCGCCTGTCGATTTTGTGCGCACTAAAATGGCAGTACATGTTATATTGTCTGTTCAACGGTAACCCCCGTTAAAGTATGGTGGCCTGTACAGGCATGCATTTAAACAATGCGTTATTTGATGAGTCGCTTCCAAGCAGCACTAAGTCCGCAACATTCCGCACGGTTAAAATTATTTTTACTTCACTCAATTTCGAATAGATTCTTGAATGAGTCTTGGCCAGTAGTAATTAGTTTTTGCACAGAACTTCAACGTTACCAAAAATCTAACTGAGTGTCTGCGTTGGCACGCGTGTTTTGCTACTGCTGGCGGTTGTATTTGGGAGAATTAAATATTTATCTGATGTTCTTTTAGTCTCGTGCTGATCATTCGTCCTGTCTGCCCAACACAGAATTTGCCACAAGTGCAATTGATCCGGTGCACACCATCTGTTGATAGCTTCGGTAACACATCTCCTGTACCAGATATTAAAATGTCTGTATTTTATGTACCGTGCCAAATCTAATTCGGATGTTTTGGGGTTTTTTTCTTCTACAAACATCTGGCTAGTTTATCGGTTACTCCCACGATGCTCGCGACAGCCTGCGTGTTAGATTAGTCGCTAACAGAGGTCGTTAAGAGGGGTTTTTCTCTACACCTACTGTCAGAATGATTATTATCATTGCGTGACTTATCACTCATTAACACCATTCATTCAATCCATTCATAATTACTATCAGAATATTAATTATAATTGATCATTTACAATCAGAATTATTATTATCATTGCATGACTATCACTCATTAACCCCATTCATTCAATCCATTCATAATTTACTATCAGACTATTAGTTATAATTGATCATTTAGAATCAGAATAAGTATCATCATTGCATGACTATCACTCATTAACCCCATTCATTCAATCCATTCATAATTTACTATCATAATTATTATTGTAATTGCAAGTCTTATCACTCAGTAACCCCATTCATTCAATCAATTCATCGTTTACAATCAGAATAATAATAATTATTATCATTGCATGGCTATCACTCATTCGCCCCCATCATCATCACAAATTCGCCTCCCCATTGCTTCCTCTCGTCTAAATCATTCACCCACACGCGGATTCTTGCTGCTGCTGCTGCCGCCGTTGTGAATGATTTATAAAGCGCCTTGGTTAAGACGCAATATCAATCCCGTTAAGTTAAGCTTATTATGATGATGGCAGGAATCGAACTCATGCCTGAGGCTCTGAGGATGGCAGCTGCTGCTGCCCCGGCAGCTGCTGCTGCTGGTACTACCGCTGCTGCTACTACCGCTGCTGGTACTACCGCTGCTGGTACTACCGCTGCAGCTACTACTGCTGCTGGTGCCCCTTCTCCTCATCTGTACTCGCACACGAAGCGTGTGGGGCAGTACCTCCTGGGCAGGGTGCTGGGGGAGGGGGCATTCGCCAAGGTGAGGGAGGCTGTCCACTACCCCACGGGCGAGAAGGTGAGTCGTGGGGGCGAGTGGCTGGGTGAGTCGTGGGGGCGAGTGGCTGGGTGAGTCGTGGGGGCGAGTGGCTGGGTGAGTCGTGGGGGTGGGCGAGTGGCTGGGTGAGCCGTGGGGGCGAGTGGCTGGGTGAGTCGAGGGGGCGAGTGGCTGGGTGAGTCGTGGGGGCGAGTGGCTGGGTGAGTCGTGGGGGCGAGTGGCTGGGTGAGTCGAGGGGGGGGGGGCGAGTGGCTGGGTGAGCCGTGGGGGCGAGTGGCTGGGTGAGTCGTGGGGGCGAGTGGCTGGGTGAGTCGCGGGGGCGAGTGGCTGGGTGAGTCGTGGGGGCGAGTGGCTGGGTGAGTCGAGGGGGCGAGTGGCTGGGTGAGTCGAGGGGGCGAGTGGCTGGGTGAGGGGGCGGGCATGAGCGAGTGGATTAGTTGGGTGGCTGAGTGAGTGGCTGCGTGGGTAGATGGGTGAGTGGGTGGCTGGGTGAGTTCAGTATATTGGAGAGAGAGAGTGAGTGGGGTGGTGAGTGGGTGAGTAAGTGAGTTAATGAGTGGTTTGGTGAATAATTGAGTTGGATTACTGTATCACTGACTGGGTGACTGGACGAGTGAGTGAGTGACTAGGTGGCTGGATGAGTAAGTGACTGGGTGTCTGGACGAGTGACTGGATGGCTGGATGAGTTGAGTAATTGAATGGGTGGCTGGATAAGTGACTGGGTGGCTGGATAAGTGACTGGGTGACTGGACGAGTGAGTGACTAGGTGGCTGGATGAGTAAGTGACTGGGTGTCTGGACGAGTGACTGGATGGCTGGATGAGTGAGTGACTGGACGAGCGACTGAGTGACTGGGTGTAGAGGCCGACCGATATTCCATTTCGGTGTCGGCGCCGAAAGTTGGCAAATGGCCTCTTTCTGCATACTTTCGGTTTCGGCCGAAAGTAAATTTTTAACTTTCGGTCTGGTTTCGGTTTCGGCCGAAACTGATATTGACTTTCGGTCGTCAACCGAAGATCTATTTTAGAATGTAACGCCTAGTGCTACGTCTATCACTGCCTATCGGCCGGTCAGTCAGCGCTAGGCAATTCTATGCGATAGGCTGCAAACACACACACACACACACATGTACACACACACACGTACACACACACATACACAACAACCGCCATTCGCCACGAAGTGGCGGTGACGTTACCACGACGCTTGTGCCAGGCCATGTGCACCTTGAGGCCACTGAAGTGTCGAACGCCCGTGGGCAGGAGGTCACGGGGCAGACCCAGGTGCCACTGGTCGACTGACTGAGATGACTGGCTGATGCACCACCTGTGCCCCCTACTCTGCCAACCTGCTGTGCATTAGCCACCCAGCACTCCACTCGTTGTTGTGAGCGTTGCTCCTCCGCCCTCCGTTGTTGTTGGAGGGCGACTACCACCAACTGCCCAGTAGCGTCCTTCACGAGCCTCCTCCACAGAGGCCGATCTTGACACCGCTGGTACCAGTCATCGGCAAGTCCACTCAGCTCCACGTTCTCCTGTACCACATCACTCCATCTCTTCTCTAGCCCGTGCCGCGCCCGTTTAGCCCCCTCGATCCGGCCAAACAAAAGTTGTTTCGGCATGCGGTGGCTGGGCATGCGGGCTACATGACCCAGCCAACGCAGCCTTGCCTGCCGGAGGAGCTCACCGATGGGACCTTGCCCAGATCTTTCAAGGATTTTTGAGCTCCTCACACAATGCAGCATGGTTAAACCCAGGATGGAACGTAGGCAGGCCAGCCTAAATGTTTACAACCGGCGAAGATGCTCCATTAAGGGGGTCCACGTTTCGCAAGCGTAGAGAAGGGAGGGAATGACCGTGGCCGAGAAGACCTGAAACTTAGTGCGGAGCGACAGACCAGGTAGCTTCCACACAGCGTTACGCAACCGGTGAAAAGATATTGCCGCTCGACTGATTCGGAGTGAGACCTCTGCTGTTAAACTGGAGCCGGTCATAAGCACACTGCCCAGGTATGGGAAACTCTCCACTCTCTCCACAACTGCCCCATCACCGATTGGGAGTTGTGGGGGTGGAGTGTCCGATGGAACAAAATACCCAGGCAGGTGCTTAGTTTTGGTGGGGCTGATGGTAAGGCCCAATCTCTTAGTGGCACGCTCCAGTCTCAGCAGCAGCGTCTCCAACTCCTCCTCTGAATGAGCAGCTATTACCAAATAATCAGCATACATAACGTGGTTGAGCAATAGGGAGCCATCCCTTGACCGCACCCGGGCATCGATCAGCCTCCCATTATATCTGTACCAAATGGAGATTCCCCCGGTACAGCTATTGAAGGCTTCACGAACTACGTGGTCAAAATATATGTTAAATAATGTGGGAGCCAGAGGACATCCCTGTCGCACCCCAAGGTGTACAGGGAATGTCTCTGACTCCCGGCCACGTAGTTTTACCCGGGCCCGCTCACCACTATGAAGGTCCTTAATGATCGTGAGCAGAGGATCAGGGACTCCAAAAGCACAAAGAACAACCCAGAGCCCAGGCCTACTGATGGTATCATAGGCCTTGACCAGGTCAATAAAGCAGAGATGTAGGTCTTGTTGGAATTCCATACACCTCTGCTGTAGCAGACGGACAGAAAATATGGCATCTGTGCAGGACCGCCCTTTCCTGAAACCGCATTGGGCCTCCGCAAGCCTCTCCTAAGTGTGTCTGGCGAGGCGATGTTGAATAATCCTTGCCAGGACCTTTCCCGGCACACTGAGGAGTGAGATGCCCCTGTAGTTGTTACAGTCTGTGCGGTCCCCCTTCTTAAAGAGGGGGACCACCAGGGCATCTTTCCAATCCTGCGGAACCCGTCCAGTGGTCCAGACTGTTATGATGTCATATAGGGCAGTCTGTGCACAAACGCCACCCTCCCTCAGCATTTCGCTTGGGAGATCATCTCTGCCCGCTGCCTCTCCTGGTCTCAGACTCCGGATCGCCTTCAGTACTTCCTCAACAGATGGTACTTCAGCCAGCCACTCACAGGGGGTGACTTCTTCCAATATTTGAGGCACATACACACACGTACATACACACACGTAAGCAGCAGCTTGGGAGCAAGGTTACAGCCGCAACCGTGGTCTGCTAATGTAGATACGACCGGTCAACAGACGGCAGCCTGTCTGGCTGAATGCGTAAAAACTGTTGCTTCTTAACTACAACATTCGTTTGTTTGGATATAATTACTAAGTAAGTAACACCTAAAGATTTGATATTTAGCGACTCTTACTGCAAGCTCTGAATGATTATTTCTAGATTTATTTTTAATTATGTAGCATTGCATCATGACATATTTCATAAATCTTGTGTTCGGTAACTTCGGTTATGTACCTTTCTGTTTCGGCCGAAAGTGAAGTTAAACGTTCGGTTTCGGCCGAAAGTCAATTTTTAACTTTTGGTCTGGTTTCGGTTTCGGCCGAAACCAGAAATTCAATTTCGGTCGGCCTCTAACTGGGTGACTGAGTGACTGGAGTGACTGGACGAGCGACTGAGTGACTGAGTGACTGGACGAGCGACTGAGTGACTGGACGAGCGACTGAGTGACTGAGTGACTAGACGACCGACTGAGTGACTGAGTGACTGGACGAGCGACTGAGTGACTGAGTGACTGGACGAGCGACTGAGTGACTGAGTGACTGGACGAGCGACTGAGTGACTGAGTGATTGGACGAGCGACTGAGTGACTGAGTGACTGGACGAGCGACTGAGTGACTGAGTGAGCGACTGAGTGATTAGACGAGCGACTGAGTGACTGAGTGATTGAGTGACTGAATGACTGGACGAGCGACTGAGTGACTGGACGAGCGACTGAGTGACTGAGTGACTGGACGAGCAACTGGGTGACTGGACGAGCGACCGAGTGACTGAGCGAGCGACTGAGTGACTGGACGAGCGACTGAGTGACTGAGTGATTGAGTGACTGAATGACTGGACGAGCGACTGAGTGACTGGACGAGCGACTGAGTGACTGAGTGACTGGACGAGCAACTGGGTGACTGGACGAGCGACCGAGTGACTGAGCGAGCGACTGAGTGACTGGACGAGCGACTGAGTGACTAAGTGACTGTACGAGCGACTGAGTGACTGAGCGAGTGACTGAGTGACTGGACGAGCGACTGAGTGACTGAGTGACTGGACGAGCAACCGAGTGACTGAGTGACTGGACGAGCGACTGAGTGACTGGACGAGCGACCGAGCGACTGAGCGACTGGGTGGCTGGACGAGCGACCGAGCGACTGAGCGACTGACCGCCACCGCGGCCCTACCGCAGGTGGCCATCAAGGTGCTGGACAAGGCGCGTGTGCGCGGCGACCCGTACCTGTCCCGCGCCGTGCGACGCGAGGCGGCGGTGCAGCGCCGCGCGGGAGCCCACGCGGGCCTCTGTCGCCTCCTGCACGCCCTCGACAGCCCCGGGGCCCTCTACCTCGTGCTGGAGCTGTGCGCCCGCGGGGACCTCGGCTCGCGGGTCGCGACCGACGGCGCCCTCGGGGAGCCGCGCGCCCGCGGCTACGCGCGCCAGCTGCTGGCCGCGGCCGCGCACCTGCACGCGCGCGGCGTGGTGCACAGGTGAGGAGGTGGGGGTGAGTGGTGCACAGGTGAGGAGGGTAGGGTGGGGGTGAGTGATGCACAGGTGAGGAGGTGGGGGTGGGGGTGAGTGATGCACAGGTGAGGAGGTAGGGGGGTGTTGGCTGTAGGTGAGTGGTGCACAGGTGAGGAGGTGGGTAGGGTGCGGGTGGGGGTGTAGATGAGTGATGCACAGGTGAGGAGGTGGGTACGGTGGGGGGGTGTTGTCTGTAGGTGAGTGATGCACAGGTGAGGAGGTGGGGGGGGGGGGTGTAGGTGAGTGGTGCACAGGTGAGGAGGTGGGTACGGTGGGGGGGTGTTGGCTGTTGGTGAGTGATGCACAGGTGAGTCGGGGAGGGATGGTGGGGGGATGGGGTAGGTGGGTGAGAGGTTGTGAGAGTTTTTCACAGGTGAGTCTGGGGGGGAGATGTGTGTTGATGGGGGATGTTGCAGGTGAAATGAGTATGTGTGAGCCCCTGTGTTAATGGGGAGCGTTTGTGTAGTGGTTAGCGCTACGCTGCGCTATGAACCTGACGATCCGGGTTCGATCCCCGCTCACGGCCAACACCGGTGACGATTATTTGAATCGGTCGTGGGCCTCCCCTAGGTCGACTCAGCCTCAAATGAGTACCCGGTGCGGTGTGTAAACATCGGCACGGTGGAGACAAAGACGGTCCGGGTGTGGTGCTGGCCACCCACCCGCTCATGTGCCGTGCCAGCCTTCATAGGTGATGCTCGCTAACAGCACTTGCCCCAACAGTCTGTGAAGTCTATACGGGGAATCTTTGTCTTTGTGTCTGTAGAGATCTCAAGATTGAAAACATGTTGCTGGATGAAGATGACAACATCAAAATAATCGGTACGCATGTGCTGGAAATTCCACATTACTATGCCGTGGGCCAAGTCTATCCATTGGGTGACCAATGTTGACTGACATCGAAGGCGATGCTTCGAATGCTACTGATGCTACTTATGATGTTGCTGCTACTTCTGCTGATGATGTTAGGGGCCGTCCATAAATGATGTCACGCACCTAGGGGGGTGGGGGGTTTGATAATAGACAACATGTTTTATTTAAATTTTGATTTAAAGCTTTCGTGACTGCAGGGATTCATATTCTTGGTTCTTTCGGTAAAGTCACCGCGTAGAAGGGAAACAATAAAATAATTAAAATATAAAACAATACAATTCTCACGACGTTTCGACTGCAACACAAGCAATCATCATCAGGTGTGAAAACCACATGTAGAAAGGAAACAATAAAATAATTAAAAAAATTTAACAATAAAATTCTCACGACGTTTCGACTGCAACACAAGCAATCATCAACAGGTGTGAAAACCACAGCAAGAAAATTTGAAAAAAGTGGCGGTTATTTTTAACGTTAGCACCACGGAAAGTGATACGACGGTTTGTTCAGATTTGACAGTTGGTTCAGATGGACTCGTCCATCTGAACAAACTGTCAAATCTTTCAAATCGCTCTACGTGGTGCTAACGTTAAAAAAAGCGCCACTTTTTTAAAATTTTCTTGCTGTGGTATTCATACCTGATGATGATTGCTTGTGTTGCAGTCGAAACGTAGTGAGAATTTTATTGTTTTATATTTTTATTATTTTATTGTTTCCCTTCTACGTGACTTTACCGAAGGAACAAAGAATACGTTCTACTTAATTAAATAGACTTTTTAATAAATGTTTTCTCCTACAACATCAGAGTGCAGCGCCACATTAAATACGCACTACAATGACAATAGTTTAAAGCGATTTGAAGCATGTTTTATTTTGGGGGGGGGGGCGGACCTTTGTGACGTCATATTTGAGGGGGGGTCTGACTTTTTGTGACGCCGTGTGACGAAGGGGGGGGGGCGGAGTCAGAAATCGTCCAAAATCGCGTGACGTCATCTATGGACGGCCCCTTACTGGTGATGATATTGCTACTACTGCTGCTGATGATGATGGTGTTGCTGATGATGATGTTGCTACTACCGCTGCTGATGATGTTGCTGATGATGTTGCTGCTACTACTGCTGATGATGTTATTGCTGTACAACCTCCGACCTCCCCCCCCCCTCCACCAGACTTCGGCTTGAGCAATGAGCTGGCCACGTGTGGGGGTGGGGGTCCCTGCGAGGGGGCTCTGCTGCTGACGCAGTGCGGTAGTCCCGCGTACGCGGCCCCCGAGATTCTGTCGCAGAGACCCTACGGGACCCCGGCCGACGTTTGGTCCCTGTGAGTAGGGCGGGGGCGGGGGGGGTCTTACCCTCTGTGCACCCCACCGCATGCCTATACATTGTACGGAATCTGATGACGTGTGTTCGTGTGTTGTGTGGAATTCAGTGACATGTTAACATACGGGATTCGGACGACATGCTAATGCTGCGTATTGAATTCGAGTGGATGTCCATGTGATGCATGGCATTGACGTACCCGTTAATGCGATGTATGGAATTTGATTCCGTGTTCACGTATTCGGTCATGTCAATTTGATGTGTGGAATTCGAATGTCTGTTAATGTGATGTATGGAATCCAGGTGTGTGTTCATGTGATGTATGGAATCCAGGCGTGTGTCAATGTGATGTGTGGAATTCGAATGTCTGTTAATGTTATGTATGGAATCCAGGTGTATGTTAATGTGATGTATGGAATCCAGGTGTGTGTTAATGTGATGTATGGAATCCAGGTGTGTGTTCATGTGATGTATGGAATCCAGGCGTGTGTCAATGTGATGTGTGGAATTCGAATGTCTGTTAATGTTATGTATGGAATCCAGGTGTATGTTAATGTGATGTATGGAATCCAGGTGTGTGTTAATGTGATGTATGGAATCCAGGTGTATGTTTATGTGATGTGTGTGAATGTGATTATGGAATCCAGGTGTGTGTTAATGTGGTGTATGGGATCCAGGGGTGTGTTAATGTATTGTATGGAATCCAGGTGTGTGTTAATGTGATGTATGGAATCCAGGTATGTGTTAATGTGGTGTATGGAATCCAAGTGTATATTAATGCGCTAGAATCGTACAAATAATGTACTCGGGATTTTAAGTTTAACCCCACGGACGAGCAATACAATTCTCTAAGCACAAATAACCAATAAATAACTACTAAACACATTGTCATTAAGGGAGACAAATATATACAATAGGCGACGTTTCAAAAAATTACTCTTCTTCATAGCCACATAAACGGATAGGCCAGAGAGACGGAGTGAGCAAGATTCGTAAATGTATACACATATAGATAGACACGGTAACGTCGTAGACAAGCTGTGGCTGAGCCGGCTTTGTCGTCATTAGGACTCATCGGCACGTCGGTCGTGGTCAGTCGTCAAGGCTCACTGCTGCCAGGGTCTGCCTCCAGACACCGCCACCACACGACGACAAAGACAAAGATCCCCCGTGTAACCTGAACAGACTGTTGGGGCAAGTGCTGTTAGCGAGCGGCACCTATGAAGGCCGGCACGGCTAGCGAGGGGGTGGGTAGCCAGCACCACGCCTGACCGCCTTTGTCTCCCCAGTGACGACTACACACCGCACCGGGTACTCATTTGAGGCTGAGTCGACTTAGGGGAGGTCCAGGACCGGTTCAGATAATCGTCACCAGTGTTGGCCGTGAGCTGGGCATCGAACTAGGGTTGCTGGGTTCATAGCACAGCGTGCTAACTATCGCTACCATCGCCACCACTACCACCACCGCCGCCACCACCACTGCTAACATCACTACCACCACCGCTACCACCACTTCCGCTACCACCACTTCCACCACCACCGCTACCACCACCACTACCAAGGCTGGATTATGGACCGGGCCAGTGGGGCCAGTACCCCGGGGCCTCAGACTGCCAGGGGGCCTCCAAGCCTCAGACCAGTAGGCCCCCTCCACGCTTAAAGCGTGAGCTGACCACTAGGGCCCCCGGGCCCTTGGGTGCTTACAGTGTGAGTTGACCACTAGGGCCCCCAGGACCCTGGGTACTCACAGCGTGAGTTGACCACTAGGACCCCCAGGCCCCTGGGTGTTCACAGCGTGAGTTGACCACTAGGGCCCCCAGGCCCCTGGGTGTTCACAGCGTGAGTTGACCACTAGGGCCCTCAGGCCCCTGGGTGTTCACAGCGTGAGTTGACCACTAGGGCCCCAAGGCCCCTGGGTGTTCACAGCGTGAGTTGACCACTAGGGCCCTCAGGCCCCTGGGTGTTCACAGCGTGAGTTGACCACTAGGGCCCCAAGGCCCCTGGGTGTTCACAGCGTGAGTTGACCACTAGGGCCCCCAGGCCCCTGGGTACTCACAGTGTGAGTTGACCACTAGTGGCCCCAGGCCCCTGGGTGCACACATCGAGCGTACCACCTGGGGCCCCTTGGTACACGCAGTGCATGCTGAGAACGAGAGGCTCTCGGAGAGTGCGGTGCTTCTGTACAACTGAGCCACTGGCTGGCACGCTACAATACGCTGTGACAAGATACAATATTCACCAACAAGTCAGTTAATTCTGCATAACAGGACATTTTGAAGGGCGTCATATTATGGCAAGCCATTCGTTATTTGACTTACCGTAGCTAGCTATCCCTTTACTTTAGCTAGCTGCCCATTTTCCCGAGCTAACTGCCCATATGATTCAGCATGTTAACATAAATTAGTTAGCTAGCTGCCATTTTTGCCAGGTAGCTGGCCTTACAACCAAATTAGCTGCACTGTATATAGCCAGCTAGGGAGACCGAGGGCTCGTCGTTTATTCAGAATCAGAATCAGAAAGGGTTTTATTCGCCATGAAAGTTCACACCGACACGGAATTTACTTTGGCAGGATGGTGCATACATTCAACATATAGGAATCTAAAATCTTAAATAAGTTTTAAACAAGTCTTACTATAATAATAAGGGTTAAAAGTCTAACTAACACCAAGGGGCTGAAGTATATAAAATTGAATAAATATCGAATATAAAATAGGTTTAAGATATAATTTAAAAATAAAAAATACAAATAGGTTAACATAGTTAATGTCGGCAAGGTGTCATTATGTAGATAAAATGTTAAAATCAGTGTAAGCCCTTGGTCTTGTTTAACAGGCCAGCAGCAGATGGGAAGAAACTGTTTTATGGTGTGAGGTTTTGGTCCTGATGGACCGAAGCCTTCTGCCGGAGGGGAGTAGCTGAAACAGAGAGTGTCCAGGGTGGGAGGAATCGGCCACAATCTTCCTCGCTCGCCTCGCGGTCCTTGTCGTGTGCAGGTCCTCGAGGGTTGGTAGATTGCAGGCAATTACCTTCTCAGCAGTATGGATGATACGCTGCAGTCTGCTCTTGTCCTTGGCAGTGGCAGCAGCGTACCAGACAGTTATGGAGGAGGTGAGGATGGATTCAATGATCGCTGTATAGAATTGCACCATCATTGTCTTGGGCAGGTTGATTTTCTTCAGCTGCCGTAGAAAGTACATCCTCTGTTGAGCTCTCTTGGTGAGGGAGCTGATGTTCAGTTCCCACTTGAGGTCCCGGGAGAGAATAGTGCCCAGGAAGCTGAAGGACTCTACAATTTTGACTGGGGAGTCTAACAGGGTGATGGGGGTGAGTGGGGCTGTATTCTTCCTGAAGTCCACAACCATCTCAACTGTCTTTAGAGCATTTAGCTCTAAGTTGTTCTGGCTACACCAGGTCACCAGGTTGTCAGCTTCCCACCTAGAGTCAGACTCATCCCCACCAGAGATCAGCCCAATGAGGGTGGTGTCGTCCGCAAACTTCAAGAGTTTGACGGACAGATGATTGGAGGTGCAGCTGTTGGTATACAGGGAGAATAGCAGTGGGGAAAGGACGCAGCCCTGAGGAGTTCCGGTGCTGATGGACCTGGAGTCAGAGACTTGTGTTCCCAGCTTAACGCACTGCTTCCTGTCAGACATGAAGTCTGCGATCCACCTGCAGGTGGAGTAGGGCACGTTCAGCTGGAAGAGCTTGTCCTGAAGCAGGGCAGGGATGATGGTGTTGAAGGCAGAGCTGAAGTCCACAAACAGGATCCTGGCGTAGAATGCTGGGGCGTCCAGATGCTGTAGGGTGAAGTGGAGGGCCACGTTAACTGCGTCGTCCACAGACCTGTTATCTCTGTAGGCAAACTGAAGGGGGTCCAGGAGAGGGTCTGTGATGGCTTTGAGGTGTGCCAGGACCAGGCGCTCAAAAGAATTAATTACCACAGATGTAAGGGCGACCGGTCTGTAATCATTTAGTCCTGTTGGCCTTAGCTTTTTGGGCACAGGGATGATGGTGGAGGACTTGAGACAGGCTGGTACATGGCATGTCTCCAGGGAGGTGTTAAAGATGTTGGTGAACACTGGAGACAGCTGGTCAGCGCAGTGCCTGAGGGTGGCTGGAGAGACAGAGTCCGGCCCGGCTGCTTTGCGTGGTTTCTGCCTCTTGAAAAGTCTATTAACTTCTCCCTCCTGAAAGGAGAGAGTCGTCTCTGTAGTATGGGTGGGGGATGGGGCCTCTTGGGTGGGAAGGGGTGGTTCAGGACAGTCCAATTGTCTTTCAAATCTACAGTAGAACTCGTTCAGGTCGTTGGCTAGGCGGGAGTCGTTAGTGGTGTGGGGGGCTCTGGGTTTGTAGTTGGTGATCTGCCTGAGCCCTCTCCAGACAGAAGCAGCGTCGTTAGTAGAGAACTGGTGTTTTAGTCTCTCTGAGTACAGTCGTTTAGCCTCTCTCACCGCTTTGCTAAACCTGTTCTTCGACTCCTTGAATCTGTCTCTATCCCCACTCCTAAACGCTTCCTCCTTCTCCAACCTCAACCTTCTGAGCTTTGCTGATAACCAGGGCTTATTGTTGTTGTTAAAGTTCACCCTGGTACGTGTTGGGATACAGCAGTCCTCACAGAAGCTGATGTAGGACGTCACAGCCTCTGTGAGTTCATCCAGACTATTGGTAGCAGTCGTGAACATATCCCAGTCAGTACAGTCTAAGCACGCCCGCAAATCTTCCACAGCCTCACTGGTCCACTGTTTAGATGTCCTCACAGGAGGTTTACAGAGTTTTAGTTTCTGCCTGTATGCAGGAATCAGGTGGACCATGGCATGGTCAGAGTGTCCTAGTGCTGCTCGGGGGATGGCGTGGTAGGCTCTACTGACTTTAGTGTAGCAGTGATCCAGAGTGTTCCCTTCTCTGGTTGGGCATTTAATGAATTGTATGTATTTGGGGAGTTCGTGGCTGAGATTACCTTTGTTAAAGTACGATAACCAACGAATCTGGATTTGCTCGCT